AGGTGACAGATGGAGCAGCGGTGGCGAAAATGGGACAGGACACCCGGGGACAGATTTTTTTTAACGCACTCACAGTTGTTGCACGTTGGCGGCCTACTGGTGTGACGGTCCGTCGACTTTGTAGCTCAGAATTTGGGTCTGCGGTTTGTCCTTCGGGAAATAGTGGATCAGCCTCGTTGCGAACAGGGAGTGAGGCGTGATTCTCTTGGGGGTTGCAGCCCATTGATTTATCCGTTTACCAGCGTTTCATAGATATTTGTTGGGTCCATCGTCAGGGCCACGACCCAAAAATCTCTCAAACGTCGGTAAAGTCCTACCAGACTACAAGGCGAAACAACCCAGAAGTCAGCCATCTTCGGACTCACCGCCTTGAAAATCTCAGATCCTACTCGGTCGATCTTTGTAATGGTGAAGTGCAGTGTTTTCTTCGCGGTACGGACTGAATTATATTAAATGTTACTTAGACGAGCTTCGTCTTCAAAGGGTCACACTCGCGTTTTAAATTGCCTGCATGCGGTTACATTTGTTCAGGACACAAAGAACAATTCTCACGAAAAAGATGGCTCTCTTCTGGGTTGTTGCCCTGATGATGGAAGCAGTAACCACCTCTGAAACGTCGGTAAACTTCCACCAGACTACACGCTGCTACAACCCAGAAGGCAGCCATCTTCGGACTCTGCCGTGAAAACCTCAAATTTTATATAATTAATTATAAATATGATGATATAGATACACGCAAAGGTTAGTGTGATAACGTTAATGGTAAATGCTAAGGCGATGTTAAAGATGAAGGATAATGTTGCAGATGCTCTTAGGGATAATGATGACGATGATAATGTGGATAAAGCGATGATAGTCGTATCGTTAAAGAATAGGACAATGAAAATGACAAAAGAATATCAGGATTATCATCTTCATGAAAGATGATGATAAACACTTAACTGCAATCAAAACTTGAAACTTTTCTCCAGTCGTTCGTAAGCAACGCCTTTGAGCGAATGTCAGCGAAGTCTTTGGTGGTCATTTCGTCGTCCTTCGCCTTTGGCTGCGCTCAGACTTCTAGAAGCAGGACAGCCGATGGTCTCTTCATCCGGCGTTCTCCTCAGTACCGAGTCCTCAGACACCGCTCCTCCACTCTGATTGACCGACGTTGTCGAACTGAGAGTTCATACAGCGCGTACCCCAGTTAAGATACTGGCGCCTGGCTTCAGGGATCAGGGAGGAGCTGGTCCGTGCGTGACGTATGACCTGACCCCTCACCGAAATTCCCTATATTCGACTGTAAGATGTTTCGGTACTTATTCTTGGAGGAACTGAGAATAACCATGATAGCAGAGACTGGAGCTGGGTACGTCCAGAATGAGAACGGGCGTCGGTCCTTGGGTATTTAACAACACTGTATCAACTTCAGTGTTATGCACGTTAGAATGAAACTGGAGAAATTCTGGACAACTGGGTGGAAGGGACTGGGGAGGAAACGGTCGTGGCCTGACGTCAGCACCATCTGTAAGGTCCTTCGGCATTTATGATTCTTTTACTTGGAAAAGACGAAAATGTTTAATATTTCTTATTCATATCGTCTACGTCACTTCGTAATTTACCAGTAGGTATGTCCGTAGTTGACGGGAACTTCCTTTCCGCATTGCACGTCGTAAGATGAATTCTGCATACAAAGATGTTTAATACGAAATTGTATAACTTACAGATCGCGACGCCAGTTCCGTCAAGACGGGTTTGGTTTACGAAATTTACTTTTTGTTCCAGAGGTGACGAGCTCCAGCGTTCGCTGGAACTGCTGGACAGCGTGCTGTCCGAGTTTGACGACCTGGAGAACGGCAACGGGGGTGAAGCCGAAGGAGGCGCCCCCGTCGAGGCCCCGGGTCATGTGTCCAGCACCCCCGAGGACGAGAGTCCGTCGCTGGGAGGACATCACTCAGAAGACGATGGCTACATGAGCATGAACGGACGTCGCGCGAAGTTCGTCCTGAGTTTCCGCCCGGTCCCTGACGAGGGTCAGGCCCTGGAACTACCCCCGGCACCTGACCCGCCCCCAGACCCACCCCCGACAGAAATGGCAGACTTCCCTCCGCCTCCTGAAGAAGCAGCTCGCATCATCTCGACTCTGCTGCCACGGTACGTCAGTGTAGACGCAGTGGAAGTACTGAGCTATCCCGGAATTGGCTTCAAATAAGACATTTAAATAAAATCAGCTGTTTTTCGTAATTTTGGGCTGAAATGTGCTTAAACGTCGCTGTATCATTCCGCGTACTATATGAACTTCTCCTTTCACCTTGAAGCGCCTGGCTGCTTCTTGTAGAGAGAAATATTACGACAACCAGTCTCGGAATTGACGTCTAGATCCTCTCGGCCGCCATTTTCCTCCTTCGAAAGTATCAGGCAACTGTTTGTTTCGGAATGTGTCACGTGTTGGTTGCCGGATCAGATAACAGAGGCCTCTGCTCTTCAGCGCTGAGGCCAGTCTCTGAAGAAAAATATGTTCTGCCCTTATTCATCTATATGCAAATTATATTATATTTATATAAGCATTGAAATTCCAAGAGGAATTTTATCGGCTCGAGTTGGTACCATCCGCCGTGGAAATAAAGAACATAACAGTAATTTGAGAATAGCTTGTTTTCTGGGTGGTGGCGCCATGTGGCCTCCGTCGCACTAGGGGCTCTGAAACGTCGGTGAAGTTCTGCCACACTACGCGGCGTCACAACCCTGAAGACGGCAGTCGTCGGACGCACCGCCGCGAGACGCGCTCGGGTTTTAAGGATTCCGTTTGTCGTTTTTGTGTGTAATGTGAAGAACAGTGATCGGGAAATGCATTGCATCTAGAAAGTCCTTTCGTGGTTTTCTGCATTCATGCACTCGTAATCAAGCACTTCTCGTATTTTTCTCGCACGACCACTTTCCAAGGTCACGTTTGTGGTAAACTTAAAGGTACTCATATGATTTTTTTTTTAAAATTCACTTAAACTTTAAATTGTGCAATTCAGATTCTGAATTTTATTTGGTTCTTGCAACCTGTTGTGATAATCAAGATTATACGTCACGTGACCACTTTTGAGGCTTCACAAAATAGGATCATGAACGTTAAGATCTACTCTGATATCAAAATAATGTCTTACTTCTCTGACTTAAACTTCAGCTGCCCCGATTGGCCGTAACTTAAGATTCTGAATCTCGCTATTAAAATCATTCGCGCTTTCACCTCATTTCAGTTCAGTAACATAAGAAGGATTATTTGTTCCCACGGATTGTTCAGCGGCCATGTTTAATTCTGCGTTTCCTTCCAGAGTTTCCCCCGGGAACTCCGCCAAGAGAAGCAGTGTGCGACGTGGCAGGGCCTTCCTGAGCGCCATGACCCTGCAAGACCGGCAGATCGCAAACAGCAGAGTCACGACGGCCACTCAGACAACCCTGGTGAGCGTCCTCGGACTCACTGTCCACTGCCTTCCATTTCATTATAGTTCTTCCTTTGCTCTATTTTGATTTTGGGTTCCCTTGGCATTTGATTTGTCTCACGAAAGATGTCAGTAGCTGTCGGTAGCGTTGTTGAAATGGCGCCACCAGCAGCGGACAAACCTCGAACAGTAAGCATTCGTGGTAGTGAGGTCTGGTGATCTTGGAGGCCATTGCTTAAGTTCTTCACGCCCAATCCATCGAGTAGAAAGAAGTTCATCCAGGAACGATCCTACATTCTTACGGGAGTGTGGGTGGGTCCCGCCTTCTGTGGCAATCAGATCTGGCTGATGATACGTGTGGTTCTATCTAGCGGCGATGAATGGAAACTGTCTGACATGGTCTCTAACTGTACCTTAAACGTGCTCTGATGATTTGAATCCTTTCGTCGTCAAGAGCATTTACGGACCCCCTGCAGGCAATAACATTGTCAGGGTCACATGTAATGACGATTAAATCGATTTATTTATTTTAGTTTATATAACGACCCTTTCAGGCTATATAGCGTCAGCAAATTTAATGGAAATTGGCTCAGTTTTTGGTTCTGACACCGTTTAATAAAAAATACTTATTTGCATGTAAAGTACATTCCCCGATATCAGCAACAGCTGCACGATTTCCCCTTGCCCAGAACTGTAATTGCTTTGTTCTTTCTGCAGCCGAAGACGCGCCACCGAAGACCGTACGGGTGGGATACAGCAAGTAACCAGCCTCCCTTCCACCTACAAGATCCCCCAAACCCTCAGTTTCGCTTCGGAAGCCTGCCGTATGACGGCGCGCTCGAGCACGCGCGGTTCCCGCCTCCGTGGCTGCAGAGACCTCTGCCGCCGCGAACTCTGCCTGGCGCCATCGAGCGGCATCGCGAGGTACGACGTCGCGGCTCGGGAGACGGCGGCGAAGACTCACTGCGTCCCCTCGACGAACTCGCAATAGACGACGATCGAGCGAACTTCTCGGACGACTCCTTGGAAGAACTCCTGCCACCTCCACAGACCTCCAAGAGGAATAGCATCGCCTGGGAAGTGCCCCTCAGTATCGATGACGCCGATCCCCTCCTCACCCCGGGCAGCACCAAAGTCGTGGGCAGGAGGAGACGGAGATCTGGTGACCACTCAAGTACGTGTTGCAGAACCCGGAGTCATCATCAGAATTGCCCTGGAACCTATTGTTGCCTCGGAGGACTCATTGGGATGAACTCATTTTCAATGATATCAAATCATTTTTGGAGTAAATAAAAGTCATGAAAAACTGAGTCGCTTTTAACAGTTCACGGTTGGGACCGTAACCAAATGCCTCAGAAACTGATGCAGAATATTAATGTTTCCGCCATAATCATCCCACAGCACAAATACATTTTGTCACATTGAAGTCCAGTGACACATTAAAGACAACTAAATTTTTGGTAAATATAAGCTAAAATACAATATACATGTTTTAGGGTTCTTATCTCAGATTGTATATTTATACGAGCGTCGTCTCCACCATGCTGCACTTCAGAGACCTAGTGATGTGTTTAAATGTTCCAGGTACAGGATCAATACACCAACTAAGAAACCATGAAGAGTGGCCAGAGCCCCCAGCAAGTACTGAAGATGAGGCTGTGTCTCCTTTCAGTGACTCCTATTATGATTCCTCGGCCACAAATGATCACGACGAATGCGGTTATCTTACGCCAGGGCTGTATGGCAGAAACATGACTCCTAATGGCACCTATGTCATTCGGAAGGGTCGAAAGAAGGATAGGAAGTGCGTGGGGGGTGTGATACAACCCCCAGAAATAGTCGAGATTGATCAGCAACCAAGATTTGGTGATCTCAAGCGTTGCAGTTCAACATTTGACAACATCAAGTCCCTCCTCAGAGAAGGGCTCTTGGAGGGTTTGGATGAAGCTCCTCCAGATTTCTCCCCGCCATCGCCTCCGGCCCTCGTACGAGTTGTTTCCTTGCCGAGTCTGTCCAGTGAGGACCCTCATCATCATGAATTCTTTAATGGTCTGTGCCATCATGGTGAGGAAGACAGTCGCCAGTGCTCAAAGACTGATGTCCGTCGCCTTTCAAGGCCATATGAACTGGCTGTGACAATGGAAGAGGAGGAAGATCCAGTATATTGCTTCAGTCCTGATGACAAAGAGTTCACGGAATCAGATGTAAATGAGGAAGAGAGAAGATTAATTGAACAGTTGGAGAAACAGCAGCTTAGTACGAGTTCAGAGTCCCTCCCTGCGGGAGACAGGTTTTCGTCTCACGAATGCCAGCTAAAGAAGATTCTGTCAGATTCTGAAACAGTGTCTCACGTAAACGAGGAATTGACGTACTGTACCGAGTCAAAGAAAGGTGTGCAGCATCATAAGAAGAGAATGTCTAACTGTTCTTTGAATGATGTTCCTGAACATGATTCGCAAAGCGAAAACAAATCCTGCGGCAAACAAAAACAGAATCAGGCTGCCACAGTAGAGTCTGACGCCCAGTGGACGACAGCTTCAGAGATTAAAATTGATGTCCACCCAGTGCCTGTTGTGCAGAAGGATGAGCTCAATGGAATCTCGAACAGAGGTTCTGAGTCTGGGGAAGACTTCACGGTGGATGTGATGCAGCATGAATTTCCACCCCTACCACCATCTCCTGTTGAGGAGGACGATGATGAATACTCGGAGATCCTTCATCGTAGTCCTACTCAGACAACAAAAGGGAAAGCTGATACTTTGCCAGAACCTTTTTACCGTAGTCTCGAGCCCCCAGGTAGCGACCCTTGCGGCATGCGTTTCCTCAACCGGCCATGCCCGCCAGAGCCTCCGCATCATCACGAGACCATTTCGAGCCTCAAGACTCGGTCCATGGATGCTGGTTTCAGTAGAGGCTACTGCAGCCACAACTCCAGCTCCAGGAGAGAGGTGAGTTTATCTCACAATTTGAGTTTGTCAAGATCAAATAGTGTTCGATTATCACTTTCTTTGTAGCCGTTAATAATTAAATATTGCCATTGGGATTTTGTGAATAAGGGTGCGTACTGGCCCCAGTCCACATCATTCAACTCTGTTTCTTTATGATCCATTTTATCATGTCTTCCTGCATGCCCACGCCTCTGAAGTGGATTGTATAAGTCTGTTGTCTCGCCCATCCGTGCACATATATAGATTAATTTCAGTCACCTTACAAAATGTCATGCTGTTAGCATAGTTTTTATATAGACAAGTACAGGTGAAGAAGGTGTTGCTTGTTGTTAACGACGTTCACAATTCCACAAAAAAATAACCTGGGAAGTTTCTCTTTTGTTGAGGTCTGGATATTTGGTGTATTAACCTTGCTATTATTTATAAATTTATGTATTATCTCTGGGTATCATTTACTGACTTTGAAATAATGAGAAATTTATGCACCACACATCACGGTTGAGTGATTGGTACTACTGCTTCATATTCGGAATATCTTATTCAAAGACGAGTCATCCAAATGGTGGCTTTTTTAAGTCTCTCCAGGCAAATGT